ATAAACCATAAACATACTTGCTAGCGTGTTCGCCTAATTGTCTGGCTGTTATCTGGCGACTGATAAACCCGTCAATGGGCGACAATCCTACCAATGTCGTGTATTTAGGAAAATCCACTTGTTATTGTAGATATACATAGCAAGAAATAGTAGGTTAGCACCTCTCTCTACGGTCAACCTCTAAATATATATTGCTGAAAACACAAACAAAGTTTTTGTATCATTAACATTTTGGAGCGGAATACAATATGAACCTACCAAGTAACACACTATTACTTTTAGTCATTCAAACGTGTAGATATCTTTCTCTGTTTTTGGAAATAGCTCGTAAATTAAGCAGTGCATTGGGAAACGCAATAATTCCGTCATACTGTAACGATTGAATACCCAATAAAATCATCCAAGTATGCATGTCCAAAACTTAATGCCCGGACTGTCACAGATGCAAAGGAGAAGTAAGGGCTGCTGACATGCTCATTGTCAAATTGTGCACACGATGTGTTCACGTTTTTTTTTTGGTGTGTTGTGCATTCACAGAACTGTATACACCCTTAATTATAACAATCACTATGATATATGACTAATATAGATTGATTATTATTCATAACATTTCCGGTCTACGGTTGATAGGTTTAGTCCAATAGAAACCTTTTGGAAAGCTTACGTATTAATTGAACCTTCCTCTGGCTATTCATTATTACGATTTCTTGTGAACCAGATGGATTAATTTCCGGAACCAAAACACCCCTCGGCAATTGCGGTGTTGATGTATATCTCTTTATCACCTAAAAATAATGATGAACATGCTATTGTTAATGTTGGCTTCTAGTTTTGTGATATGAACGGGATTAGCGTGTACATGTAGAACCTGTTTTCCCAACAATCTTAAACAAGATTTTTCATATATACACTTTATATTTGTATGTCCTGATTCTACATTTCACCTAATTGTTTGTACCCAAAATATATGCATTTTACATGAATGAATTCAATATAATTCTGAATGAGGAAACTATCAAATAAAAGACCCATTAGAAATAACGGACAAAAACAAATATTCTAAAGTACACACAATGACCTGATTCGCGTATAAAATATTATACAATAAGCGCAATCTTCTGAAATAAGAATATTTAAGAACCATCTAATGTCTTTCGATGTTAATCAGTATAATTGCAAAGCTATGTTAAAAGTTGTGCACTATTTGGATTCTATCTCATGCATCGATTATCTGAAAGACGATATCGATACTCACCAGATGGTGTACCATGGAGCTCTTCATAGACGTTTGGATTCGACCGACCCTCCAATGACTCGTATTCTCTGCTAAAACAAAAATAAAACACCTTATTAACTATGCACCATCGACAATCTGCCAGCACGAATCGTTGGAAGACCCTAAATGATGTGACACAAATATACCAAAAGGGTTTACAAGTCATGCTAATTAAACGAATTCGATAATACACACTCACTTGTCATTGACTGAATCTTTCCGGCGACCTACAAAACAAGCAACATAAAACAGTTACCTTATCCCCCAGACACATTCATTGGTATGTAAATAACAATTTATTTTTTTTATATATTTTTTTTTCAATGCATAAAAAACCGAATACACTCTGCTCATACACAAGTGAAACAATACTTCATTTTCCTCCAACAGTTAAAACACCTTGGTATCTCTATCAGGACCAACAAGCTATCTAGTATAAATTTATTATACCTGTTACATAATTGTAAAGTGAATAAAGCCCATATGTATTGGCCCCCAGAATGTTTACATAATTTAAAATCTGGCATGTTCATAACATCTGAATTTTAGTATAACAAATGGCGGCACGTTTCAGTAAGATAACGATTGTGCAAGTGTCGTACGCGTCAACATGGACCTTCTTTAACAGCACGGAATTTCTTTGTCAACAGACCATCAATGTGTTTGAGTGGCCATCATTTCGGGTTTCAATCCCACTGAGCAGGGATCAGTTTGACGATTGAGTGAGAAATGGACCTCAGCAGCCTAAAACGTTGCAACATTGGATGACGGGTCTACAGGAACTGTGGCAGAAGTTCCCGATGAGGTCTTTGAATCGACTAATCGCTTCCATGCGACGTAGATTTCAGGTTTTGGTCAACGCCCAGGGGTTCGTCTACGCGATTATTCTGTGAACTTGATTTCTACGTACGCTAAATAAGCCCTGATTTTGTCGTTTCATGGAGACATTTAAATTAAACTGAGGTTAATCTATTTGACACAACATATATATTGATATTTTACAGTGTGAATTTGTGGCAGTGCTATTATTTAGTTTATTTTGTAATATGAGCTTAATCCAAATTATTAAACAATACAGGATTGTCTTAGTGGGAATGCTTAAGCTGTACGTATGTTTGACGCACTTAACTATTTTCATATACTGATTCTCGTGCTGGTCCAACCGGTCTGTCTGGTCAACGTGTGTCTTAAGTGTTTGTTACCTGTGCTGTTTTGTTATGTAAATGTCTTTTCACGTGATCGCATGTCAGCTCGTTCCCGCACTGGACAGAGACCAGACCAGACATAGAGACCTATATAGTCAATACCGACATACATTATACCGACAGCGGTGAACAGAACTCTATTTATTTCCGAGTAAGTGTTTGAAATATATTAGTATGGAGCTATTTGAAATATTACATTTTTGGGTAACCTTTATGGAATTAGTATGTTTGCATTTCTTAAAATATTTGAAGAAGTTAAAATATCTTTCTTTGATAAACGTAAATTTGGGTGTGGTTTCCATCATCTTTTTATGGAAACTGTAATTTACTAAAGTATTTTAAAAGTAATTTGCTAAACATGCTTTCTATTTATTAAGTTTTGTTATTTTTCTTTTCAATGGAACCATATACCTATTATGTAGGCAACGTACATTATACGTAGATATCATTAGTAGACTCCTGTCAAAGCGATATGGTAGGCATTTTTAATATAAGGCACTATTACATTATCTCGCATTAATCATAGTTGATGTGCAAAACTGGTAAATTTTATAATTTGTCATGTATAAGTATTTCAAATGTATTGTATTAAATTCGTAATGTTAATTGCAACCGTTACGGGTATCGTGTATTTTGATGTAAAGTCAAGCTGATGTACATTGTATAATGTAGATCTTTTTTGTATTGTACATGTGCGTATATGTTTTATTTGTGCTATTGCAGGGTTTTTCGACTCCAATAAATGATTGTGTAAATAGAAATTTGCTTCTTCGCGATGTGTTAGAAATATGTGTTGCACCTGCACCCGGCTACACGTTTATAGCAATTCCTATACATTAAAGAAACATTATCACTACAAACATTTAACGTTTCTTTTGCAGGCCATTATATAGAAAATTATCACTATTGCGTGTTTTACCTGGAAGATGACTTCCTATTTCAGAGTACACAGACGCCTTGGTAATTTTATTCGTATCGAGTTGTTCATATGGAGATCTGTGAAGATATAGAATAAAACACAATAAAACGATGTAATCATTTGTTTTCAACCATAACTATTTATCAGTTAAAATAAACATTACTATTTAACAGTTACACACAATGACACTACAACCCTGCAGGTCGCTGGTCGAGAAATAAAGGACCTGCTGTTACCTGTTGCATGCATCGTAAGATGTAATTAATGTGGAAACCCACTGCAGAATTGGGGGTTTGTTTTTGTGCCCTATACATAAGGACACAAAATCGATCAAAATATGTCTGCACTAATTATAAAAGAATACACCTGTGGCTGCCCACTGTATGTATCGTACGAGGCGACTAATTTTGAAACCCACTGCAGAATTGGGACATACCAAAGTCCTTAAAAATGATATTGTTATTACCTGCTTAACGTTCAGCATTTGGGGAAATGGCAACAACTAGTTCACCCGTTGCCAATATAATGTGACTGGGTGGAATGCTGTGTCTGGTGCATTCGGCATGGTTTTTCAGTAAGCTGTACAATTGACTTTGAATAAAATAAAACCAAACCATAACTCTAAAATGTTGTTTTAAATAAGTGTTGAATGTTCAAACAAGATTACCGTTCGTCCTCCTCCTTATTGGGTGTCACAGCTGAAACAGACATTTTATAATTTGATAAAAAAATCCTTTATACCTTGGTAAAAATAAACGATTGCTATATATATATATATAGCCTTGGGTATTTTATTGTTTTGTATTGCATTGAATACAACTTAACCGACATGGCGAAATTAACACAACATGAAGAACTGTATGAAGAGAAGAACTTATTGATGTTGGACATTATCATTAAAACAACAAGTACAAGAGTATCAAGCGTTTTTCACCGAAATTACCTCGTTCTGAAAGTTGCACGTTCTGAAACTCCCTTTGTTTCAGATGCTGGCCTTTGCTAGAAAACAATATACAAAATTAATTTATATTTTCAATTCACAGCTATTACTTCACAATATACATCAAATTTCGGAAAAGAAATTCTTAACATAGTACGATGATTTTAATAAAGCACGCTTTTCAAACTGAACTGATTTTGGCAACATTGCATTATCATTAATATAAACAAGATATTTACGAAAAGACAAAATAACTAATAAACACCGAAACAGGATATCTGTCGATTTGGTGGCAGTATTAATTTACTTACATAAAAGGCAGTCTACCATTTCCTGTAAAATAACAGAGGTAGATGTTAAAAGTAGTGTATGCTTGTTTTACGTGAACAGATAACGAACGTACATTTAAGTAATTCAGTTGTCTTGAGTATGTTCAGTCCGTGATATAGACAACAGACAGAACTAATAATAATAATTGATCAATATAAAATGTAGATAAAACTCATAAATGATTTTTGCAATTTCCTTTTTTCTTCTTCTTTTGTTTGATATATTTTTTTTTAAAGATTTGAGTAATATGTACGTACGACTGATGAATATTCCAAGTCCAACTGTTAACAGGAGCGTGAGAACGCCGGTACAAATCAGGGCAACTCCTGTTACATTCATATTGTCGGTACCGCAGGAACATTCTTTATTTAACAAAAAGGAGTTGTTTTTTTATAAACCAATCAATATATGATATTAAATGACCTCATATATTAAGTGAACTGTTGTCATTAAACAGTGAACTAAAACGTGACATGTACGTAAGTCGTTCGAACTCAACAGTTATAATATAAGGACAAAATATAAACAGTGGAGATATTTGTATGATAAAGATGCAATTCATAAGTAAAGAAAAATAAGACAATGTGTTCCGGAAAGGTTAGCGTCTTCTGCTTCATCGACGATACCGGCCGTGTACATTTAGGCAAAAGCCAAGTAATTTAAAACTAAGACCTAAATTCACGATAAAGAAACAGCAAGGTGAGCATAGTCAAAAGCATCGACCCTCATACCATGTCATGGCATATTTATTCAATGAGATTGAAAATTAAAACAAAGAAGGTGCCTATATTCTAAAATGTACCTCTCAAAATCTTGTTTTGTCAATTTCTCAATAAGAAAACGACATCTAAACATATGAACATATTGAAAAATTGGTTGACATAGCAAGATTGATTTTGACAGTCGTGGTAAGCTTTTCAATAAATTCAGACCAAGAACTATTAAAGGGGAAAAAGGTAGAGAAAGGCTCCGTCAGTAAAAGGGAGAAACTTGTTGTAACTGAAATGCCAAAACTCTAATGGAAAATCTTGGCATCGAGCTTAAATGCTTCAAACGCTTGAAATACAAAAAAATATAGTTATCACTATGTATAAAAATATGAACTCTTCACATCGCCCATATAATAACCTTTAACACAGTAGCAAAAGGTGAATGTAAGTAACTTACCGCCCTGAACTGTACATCCAACAGCATCAAGTGATGTTGTATTTCCGTAGGTGTTGTATGCTGCAATCTTAATTGTATATAGTCGTCCTCCCACCAAATTGTCTACATATAAACTATAAATGTTCCTTCCGTCTTCAAATGCAATTGTCACTGGATAAACTTCTTTTGATTTTTTAAAGGCGTCCAGGCTGAATAAAACACGGTAAAACTGGGAGTTTCCACCATCCTCCCACGATACTTCGGCAGACATTTGCTTTCCACAGTCAACTTGCAAAATATTCGGTGGACTTGGATTTCCTATGGTTTTGATATAAATGAGTATGTTTAAAATATAGTCAAATATTACAATATATTAATCAGATGTATACATGTTATGGATGATTATCAAGGAAATTCGGCTGCAGAATTGAGATATATTTTAGAGTGAAAATAGGTTCTTGTGAGTCTATGATATCGTGCCAACAATACCATGTGCAGACGATCCACTTATTTTACACAAATCGTGCTCAGAATCGAACAATTTAACGATCGTTTGCTCCATAGGGCAGTACATACTACACAATACCGGAACACTCGTGTAAAATAAGGAAGTATTTAATTACTGATCAATTTATTTTGAATTTATCCCAAGTATCCAAAACATGCTACAATGACTGTAAAACTGTCAAGAATGGATTCCCCCGAATACCACATATCAGAACAGGAAGATACTATTTGATATGTCTGTGACTATTGCTTTGCTTATATTCATAAGTATTTTATACAAAAGGTACATCAGTGACATGGCAGTTATCTTAACAAACCTGGATACTGTATGTTTTTAAATTGCGTTCAGACTATTGCTTTTCAGTGTATGACATATGTCAGTTTCACACCTCAGTGAGTAGGATTTCCGGGGTTACAAAAACGTAAAAACTACATAACTCGACCCATTTTCCATGTTTTCGTCATACGCGAAATATCAAAATCAGGATTGGATTATGTAAATACCTACTTACTCAAAAATCAAAAAGTCAAGCCGTCAGGATTGCTTTCACAATGTCAATTTGCATGTGTTGATTACATTGATACCGCATCTTCAAAGCATACATAATGTAACTCAGAAAAGATATTCTAAAATAAAGTATATGAAATATCTTCCATATCACATACTACATTGTACGCCTGCACAAGATATGGTCTTATATACACTATCAGCATACAACGAAAACGCCAAGAGGAAAACAAGGCAAAGCGACTGGAATTTACTTAAAATGCCGGTTTTGTGCTAACATTATTAATTTACCTTTATCAGCAACTGTGAAAGTGAGTGTCCCGTTGCCCTTACTATTTGTTGCCGTTACATTATATAATCCAAACCAGGCCTCCTGTATGTTCGCACGTGTCCCCACTGACAAAGCTGACAGGTTCGATGAAAAAGGTGTATTATGTATAACAAAGTTGTCTGTCCCGTCGTTTAGCTCAGTAAAATAAGTATGTGAAGAGTTCTGGAAAGTCCATGTGAATGATGAAGGTTCCGGGTTTGACAGAAACATGGCATTCATAGTTAGATTATCATGAGTGGCCAACCATATCTGTCGAACTGTGAACACCCTTGGATCAAGACGCGGCGAACCTAATTTGGATGGAATTTAAAAAAGACACAAAAGAAGACAACTTATTGGTCTACGATTTAGTATCACACACAAGCAGACACACACATATATACAGATACACATACTACCGCATACACACAAACATGATTTAATATTTAATTACTGTCAAGATAGTACAATGATGTATGGTGAATAAGGGTATGGGTTGCCATAGTCAACTTTTTTGTTGCTGTTGCGAATACCTGGACGTCAAATGATTCCGTAAAGCTACTACCAACCTAAACTTGTCATGACTGATTCTATTTTTATTTTTCTATTTCAGGACTTTCAATTTCCGGTCCATATATAAAGCTTTTAACATTTTGTTGATATATGAATCACTGGATTTTATTCTGATATTTCTTTTACTTTTAAAAAGTGTGGACAAAACGATAAACTCCAGACCTCCTTGTATTCACAGTTTTCTTTACCGTAAGTTACGTTATGAAGCTAACGGGGTGTTTTAATTGACGTAATGAACCGTGTTAGCTACACGTATTTATGTTTTCAAGCTGGCGGTCCAGTTCAGTCGACGTAATTGAGCGTACGCCTTACAAAGTAGTGCGTAATCAAGCTAACACGGTATCTGGGTATATAATCAGCTGACGGCGTGTTCTTTACGTTCTTAATTTTACGGGCCTCTTTTCATTACATTGTCAAACTAACGGCATTTTCTTTAACGACGTTGTTAACCTTACAGTTTACCCTGGATTACGCCATTGACATGCCAATGTGTTTTATCGACGTTGTCATCATTCAGGTATATTCACAATTAGCATTTCAACATATTTTACACCAAGACATATAAATACAGTTTGAATTGATTCCCTTCTGCACAAATCGTGATTACATTTTTGTTCTACTTACGTGGTTAGCTACAAAGCGGAGAAAATATCGCAAGGTTCACGCCAGCGGTCGCCAATAGCGCCAAATGCGAAATAATACTATTTTGGCGATAAAGAAAAGTTCTGACGATTTTTTGGCGCACAATAATGTCAGTTGTTTTGTCAATATCTGTGTCAGTATATAGCTCTAACATAGGTAAACAGTGACCATCTAGCTGCCTTATCATGGTGAATTCACTCCCCAATTAACTATAAGTGTTGCGCTATTGTTACAATCAATCTGAATGGTACGCCTATATTGGCACACTGTATACGGAGCAACCAACTAGCCAAGGGCATTGGGGATATAATTGAGAGGACTAAGAATTTGGTATACAATACAACCAACAATAATCAACTTGCATATAAAACAAATACAATAAAATTTGATGACAAACGATCTGTATATCGAGGCCAATATAACTTAATGCTAATAGAACAGATTAAATTGTAACTGAAGTAAAAATTCAGACTATAGAAACATTTCACTTACTGGAACACTTCATGACATGGTTTAATGTGGACACAATTTTAATACGTTATTTAGGACAAACTAGAAGTTTTTAGTGCTGACTTGATATATCATATGTTAGTGTCGTGACGGATCCGGACCGAAATTCAGGATTTTCTGTTTTTAACACTTAACATATTTTTTAATGATTAGATTTATTTTGAATTGGAAATATTGTATTAATATCTTTGTATTTATATGAATTTGTGTTATTCTATTTTTCTGGGGGGGGGGGGATTTTTTTCAGAAGAAAACTAATGAAATCAAGGAAAAAGACAAAGAAAAATGTAATATAATACATGGAAAATTTAGGAATACAACATTTTAATAAAAAATTCGTAGGGGATCATAAAGTAATCGAGACACAGAAGTTTTATTTTTATGTGAGCTCTTTGTAACAAACAGATTAAAGATTTATATTGATGATATAGTAAAGAAATACTTAAGCAAAAGGATTTTTTTGTTTGACCACGGCGCCTTGTTAATGCCTTTAAATATCTTTTCCGACAGTTTTGGCGAAAGAATGTTTTGAAGCTGGTGTGAACCCTATATTTTCATAGTTGTCATGTTTTTTAAGCAAGTATGCTATTAATAAGCGCCCTGGTAATTTCGTGTGATCCCCTAAGTATCAGCCATATGAAATTAACATCTGTGCATGCCTTCAATAATATTTTTTTTTCTAGATCGTAATCTCTGTCAATTCCGTTTGATATCTGTAAAATGCGTATTATCGTACTTCAAGTCACGCAATTTTTTTCATAAAGAATACTCTCTTTATAGGTTAATCTCATAAAAACCGCTGCTATCGCCTCTTGATCTGGATAATGCAAATAGTGACGTTTTCGCAATATTTTTAGAGTGCTTGTTCATGAAAAATCGAAAGCGTTCTTGGTGTTGTTTTGTTTTCAATATCTCAATATTTAACATCGTATGGCATTGCCTCTATAATTCTACAAAATTCAGTCGGCATTCATGTAGGCTAAGAATGTCACGGACCGATTGTTGACGTCATGATTATTATGACGACATAGTTGTTACATTGGATACCACTGACGTTGGATTCCACTGACAAACACTTGTTCATTGAACAAGCATACACGATACAAACGTCATTTGAACTAAATGCTGAATAACAACAAGTGCAATTGTGGGTTTTTTATGAGACGAATAGATTCCAAAAATGGTAAATATAGGTATTGAACTGCTTATAATTGGCATGCATAGTCAATATGAATTCCAACTGGCTAGCGCGCTTCATTGAATTTGCCTTTGTCCATTTGGCATTCATATTGCCTATGAATGCCAACTGAAAGCAGTTCAATGCTTAACTGTACACCGACATTTTCTTAAAACATGCAAACAAAACCTGAAGATGACAATATAAAACGTAGGGAACACAATGCTTTTAACCGAAAGTTTGGAACTTGATTTAAAACACCTTTCATTTGTATATAGGGATTACAATGATTTATTCAGTATGAGTAAATTCACCGAAAACTGCAATACTGTTGCTTTAAAACGGAAAACACTCCCAGTATCTTCCTCGAAATAAGCCATGTTGTAATATCTTACGTCGGAAAACCATTTCAATTATGTATTTGTCCTGTTTACTTTTAAATGAGCACTGGTGAGCTTTGACACCTGGTCGAGAGATACGGTCGGAACATCTGATTATTCGAGATCTGAATGGTCGAGAAGAGACGTTTGTCGATTTTGATTGAACGAGAACATATGGTTGTAAATTTTGAATGGATAATAGAAGTTCATTGAGTTTTGAACTTGATGCAGAGTAAATTATTAACCTGGCGACGTGGTTTCAACGACTTCATCAACCTTTGACTATTTCACGGACTTCAGTTTTTTTATTCGCGAACAGAACATATAGTCATGACTTAGAGCTTAGGCCATCTTATGACTCTCAATCTAGAGACGAGAGGCAGCAGGCGACGGAAAGACTAGCATTTTTTGTTTATATTTTTCAAAAAATACTATTCATTTTAGTAGAACACTTGCCTAGGTCATTTTGAACATACTTGATACTGAGAAACAATGTTATCTGTAAGTGAATCCACTAAAATAAATGTGCCGTTATAGTTCGATGTAAAATAATATAAAAAAAAAATTGCCGTTTGTATTATGTGCGTGTATCAGTTGCTTACTGTTTCAATCATTTAAGTGGTTCTTGCTTAAGAATGGCGGTTATCGCTTTGGCTCGATTTTAATCATAATTTCGACATTTGACATTCTTGGTAAATATATATATACATTAGTAATGACTAAAAAATAATCATCATTTTCAGCTTCAACAATTTGGTCAGATACTAATTTCTTGGTTTTCGAATCAATGAAGAAAATACAACATACACAAAACGTTGATCCTTATGTTCTTGGTCACTGCTGTGTTAGATACACTGTTCCTGGCAGAACATGTGTACAGTCCTGTGTCCAGACAGCCAGCTGTGGTCAGGGTGTAGCTACTCTCCAGTACATCTGTAGCGGTAAACAGTTTTGTGTCATTGCTTTTGAAGTACCATGTTATTGTAGACGATGGGACACTCTCCACCTTACAAATGAGAGTCTTGGATCCGTGTTCAGTCACATTAGCGTATCCTTGGTTGTACTCAAGGCTGTCTATTTCAGGAGGAACTGAAATGTAGAATAACTAATTATGTATATATGCATTACAATACAGTTGAGGTTTGAATTCAAAGATTTGTTTGTATAGACTTTTATCCAGTTGAACGGATGACGAAACAAGTAAATCGACATTGATCTTAATAGGAGCTGAATCATTACTCGATCTCTTTTTATAATTGATTACGTGATTTAGAGCTCATAGAAAAAAAAATAGATTAACTTCAAGAGGAAGAAACATACCTGATTGACAAAATAATGTGTTCATATTTATTTTGTATACAAAAACCACGAAAATGTAGAAATATTTCGTGTGGTTCGTGACACGTTGTGGCGTAAGGACGTATATATAGTTACTGTTAAACTATACTTGTATTTGTTTTTCTCTGTTATGATTAACGCATTACATGATGAACATTTAAGAAACTGTATCATATGCGAACAGATGTATTAAGCATTCTTCTAGTTTCAGCTGATAATAGTCACTATAATTTATACTTTTTATTGTTAATATAAGCAAATTATAAACGCCGGGAAATATCTGATGTTTACAGTAGCTTAAGCATTTGTTAACATATTTATTTAATTGTTTCTGCATGTAGAAAAAAGCTATTGGCGGGCATGTCAAATAAAGTGCTGCCTTCAATGTATTACCGAAACAGCATATTAGTTTCCATAGTTACGTAATGCTAGGGGGTTTACTCGTAGTTGATTTGCTTGGTGAAGGAGAATGTATGGGGTATTAAGATGATTTTATTTCCAAAACATGTAATGTGTAATAAAAAAACTGTTAAACAACTAGTAAATTTAAATAACAACACATTGGATACTTTTTTAAGTGATGCTTAGACACTTGTGTTTATTTCTCAACACTGTGTGGATGTTCAAGTACATGACAATTGTATAAAGTATAAGTTTTATTGGACTCACTGCATCTACAAACTAAATTTTCAAAGGAGTACTTCAATTTGCATGGTCATGATTTTTGCACTATGTACCAGACTCTGCTGAAAGGATGTCCCTTGCTCTCCAAAGTACAAACAATAGCATGCCTTCCCATTAACGGAAAATATTAAATTAACATATACAAGTAGATAAATATTTGAATTATAACGGTTCAATAAAAAGCTGCTAACTGTTATGACAATATGTCATAGGGATCTTAACTTTTTTCTAAATATTTTGTTTTTCAAATTATTACCTATGAGTTTCTGTGGTAACTTCTAACTTCAAATCCATATCTATGTTTATAGAATTAAAACGACAAAGAAACGAGGTGTTAAATAGAAAAAATGGACAAAACATAGAATTCAGGAAATGAAGATACTTATGACAACATACAATAAGTCATTTATTGAAAAAAATACACTTAATATGATATAAAAGTGAAACCTTTAATGAACCTGTTCCCTGATATAAACCATATTTTGATATAAGCATTAAAACAATATGTGTTGCCCTGAAAATACCCCTACCCACTTATTTATGAAATTATTTTAATTGAAGTTTGTATGAAAGATAACAAAAAAATAATTAACGTTCCCAATGGAACACATAGGTGTAGTGATGAGCCTCCATCTACTTTAGCACATCGAGTAAATGAGATATATTTCCATGATAAATGCTTACATTTCACTACAAGGTCCCAGCCTTTCATTCCTTTGTTGATGGAGTTGTTAGCTGTACACGTGTATGTTCCAGCGTTGTTCCTCGTGACCTTTGACAGAGAGAGTGGATTTGGACGAACTTTACCTGATTTGGACCAGCTATACGTACATGGTGGTCTACAATCAGCAGAACATTTTATGTTTGGGACAGTCTGGTTTTCAACTACCTCTACTACATCGTGTATCGGTTCGAACGTTATGGTGTCTCCTGGCCCATCTGGGGAAAAACATGTTTAGATTATTTTAGTGTCTGTTTATTTTACAGTTTTCAATAAACAGATTTCCAAATAATATATGAATAAGATTAAACATACGACCAGATACGTTCATTACAGCCACACATTAAAACATAACACAAATTTACAATATACATATAAAATACTTATACAAATGGTATACACATATATGATATTCATTACAAGTTTAATATACATACTATCAAGAAAAGATTAACTTTTTTATGTCAAAAAAGCATTATAGGCAAACTACTCGATGTTTTTTTCTCATTTAACGAAATTTGATTGCTGCTGAATGTTTAATGTTTACCAAACTCATGAAATCCCCCCCCCCCCCCCCCCCTGTTAAGGAAATTAACCTTCAGCGTCAGAATTTCACAAATTAAAAGGTCAAGTTTCAGGCTACAAAGGGAAATATCTTTACCTTTAGTTTAATAGCTAGGATCCTTAGTGATAGATTATTTGTCAGCAAACATGCTTGAATAAGGAGTTACCACATCATCAATTTAATGATAAAGCCTTTTTTGTAAAGGTTCAAAGTACAATAGCGCTCTTTTGGTGACAAATACAAACACTGAGCTTGGGTTTTGCAAGCATAAAGCCCTTACGACTTCCAGTATAATTGTTTTCCCTTAAGCTAGCGACTCTTATAATGTGTACCACTGGATATTATCACACCGTTGTATACATATAAAGTGAAATTGTTGTCTTTTTTTTCTAAAAGTAGAACTGTGTTAACTTTGACTTTAAACATTAACTTTGATGTGGCCACCGCAGTCTAATCATGTGTTGATATCGATGTTACCATACTATGGTTTATATAAGCTTTTGAAAAAAACATGAGATATCTTGTGTGAACAAATCTGAATTTTCGGATTCGTGAATTATCCTGTAAACAAACATTTTGAGTATTCGGTCCTTTAACCTTGACTGATTATTTTCAAAATATTTTACGCTGTAGAACTAGATATTACCATATCATGGTGTAAATATAAACTAAATTTGTCAAGGAGTTCATGATATATGATGTATGATGTACTCGTGTATTTACTACGGACGCATTGACAAAGCAACTATTATATACCATTGCCTAAGCGTATAAGCCTTATTCTGAATTTTTCAAAGGCAATTATATTTAAGAGAACGCCGTCTATAAACCAAACTGTTAATTTGAATAACTTTTACCATTTTTGTAAATAGCTGAGAAGTCTAGTGTTATTACATTTAAGCAGCTAGTGCCTTGCATGAATGAAGGACTTTCAAGGTCGCTCTTATGGAAGATTTACACCAACTTGAACGTGGGTCAAAACACAGATATAAGTGTGTACTACGTGTATATGCATCTACATACTTGACATGGCTATTTGTTGTAAAAACCAAACATATTGACTTTGACTGTTCGTGTTAAATGTCAAGCAGCTAAGACAATACCATTTATATATTTTTCAAATAAGTTGAATGAATAAGAATGGGTTAAACATACCATATAACAGTCACCTGAGTTATATTATAGGTTGCTTAATTTCATTGTTGAAATGTGAAATGGAAATCATTTCATCATGTAAACAAAGTGAAATGCATTGCTTGCAGTGTCACCAAAGAAAAACACTTTAAAATATATTCAAATTTACTATTTTGCTATGGAGATATATATTGCCATTTGTCCAAGTTTCCTCTGTGGCATACCCCTGGATAGGTAAGGACCTTACTTCTGACATTATGTGATTCTATTTCATCATAACTATTCCAACCAAATTTGAAAATTGTCTTGCTGAGAGGGGACAAAATATACCCAACAGTGTTATTTCCCTAGATATACTATACTATAGTATAGTAACATTTTATTGTAGTAAAATCTGAAGAAGATTCTTGAACTTTTAATTATTTTCCCATTTGGGCCAAACCGATCCAGCACCTGGGGCAAAGACGGATTCAAGTTTGAATAATTTCCTACTGAAAATGGACAATAATATTCCCAAAAGCGTTATTTCTCTATAAACTTTATAATACACTTTACCCCCTTCATAAGGGCAAACTGATGACCCGGAGGTTATGAAATGTACAGTTTAAATAAAGCCCCTTAAGTTCTTTCCATCCATACAAATAATTTGATTGTAGTACATCTGAGTCTTGAAAAGAAGATTTTTGATATACTCGTTTTACCTTTGGCGCCCCGCCCTGGCCTCTAGAGTTGGGGAAGGAATTATCATTTTACATTTTAAAACCCTCGTCCTTCAATAATCAAGTTTGCATAACCTCCTACTGAACATGGACAAAAAATACCCAAAAGTGTGATTTCCCTATAAAAAAACTATAGTTAACTTCATCTCATCCCAAGGGATAAAAAATTGCCCGGGAGTTCTGGCATTTACAATTAAGATAAAGCCACTGATGATCTCTCCATCCATGAAGAGAACTTGACTGTACTACAGTGTTTGGAGAAGAAGATTTTATAAATATTGATAATTGTTGCCTTTGGGGCCCCGCCCTGGCCCCTTGGGTGGGAGGAGAAATTCCAATTTTACAAGGAAGATTCAGACTAAATTTGACAATAGTTGATTCGCTCGTTCTTTCGAGGAAGCCAAAAATCTAAACAATATACAGACGACGCACAGCGCAGGGCGACGAATGAAAAGTGATCGGAATAGGTAACTTGAGCCATTGGCTCAGGTGACCTTAACACATTAGATCTGCTCAGAAAACACAAACGAAGCAAATTCGGTCAAAAACTGGTACTTCTTACAGGATTATGTAAGCAGGCTTACAGACGGAAGGACGAACAGTGTTTCGATATTAAAAGCTCTGCTTATTGCGCACACATCAAAAGACATCAAGCGTACTTACACTGTACGGTAACAGTTGTTGTTGTCATTGACGTTCCAACAACATTCCAAGCAGTACATCTGTATGTTCCGTGTTCTGATCTGTCCAGTTGTCCAAGTGATAACACAGCTGAGGCAGTAAAGTTGGTGTTGTCAGGTTTTGTCCAGACCAAGGTACAGTCAGGTCTACAGTCAGCTGTGCAGGTGATGTCCGGTAAACTGTCATTCTCAGTCCTGGTGTAGGTTGTGTCCGGAGGGGACAGGCTAACAGTACCAGACCCGTCTATAATAAACACGTATTAATTATTGAATTATTTGGACAGACTAATGCAATCATTCGTAACCCTGAGGATACAAAACACGTCGCTTCAATTTGTGTGTATTTGTTAATGTGTTTTATGTGATAAATATAATGTTACATTCGTGTGTACGTCCTATTAAATGTATTAAACTTGTTTAATAATTTTCCCAAAGGCTCGTGTCATATCACATTCTTGAACTCGTTTAATAACTTCAATATAACAGGAACACTTTATGATTCTCTATTTACTTGGACAAAGATGATTATTATATAAATTTAGTAGAGAAGTTGTATAACTTTAAACTACACAAAATCCTTTTAACCAAAACCAATGTAACCATTCACTTTTTATTCAAATTCACTGACTATTCAAGAGAGTCTCCGCAATAAATGCCAGTTTAATCACGGATGTATTGTGTATGAGTATATTTGCGATGTTAAACATATACCTTTAAATATCCAAAGAGCCAGCACGATGTCTATATTAAACAAATGTCTCGCACTTTGTTAATCTTAACGGGTGTTTAACTCACTTTCCCTACCGATAGTACAGTTCTACAGCTAGTGTTATGCCCCCTTACTACAGACGATTTTGTCATATAGTTTTGCAGCGGTTGTACTCATAGATGCATTTGTAAAACAAGAGGCTCAGGGGCCTTAATAGCTCACCTGGTATTTTATTTTTCAAATTAAAACCTGCTGAGTACCATTCAGGTTTATCAAAGGAGTACAAGAAACAAAGTTGCAAGAAGAACTACATATCGATCTGTTTTGGTGGGAAAGACACCAAGAAAATGAGTTTCCATGTTATGTCCCAATTTTCCTTTATTTCCCCTATTGGGCCTTACCTTTTTATACAAATTAAACAAATTGATTTGTTTTCCCCTAAGCATGCCTCAAACTGCATTTGGTTTAAATTCCTTCACTTGTATAGTAGGAGAGAAAAAAAATCCTCTATTTCCCCTATTGGGCCCCGCCCATATGCCATCAGAGGGGCCACACCCTCCATGTATACAAACTTGAGGCTCCTTTGTCCAAAGATGCTCTAGAACAAATTTCCTCAAAATCCTTCAATTGGTTGAGAAGAAGATTTTTAAAGATTTACCTATTTTCCCCCTATTTGGCCCCGCCCCTATGCCCCCAGAGGGGCCACACCCTCCGTTTATACAAACTTTAGGCTCCTTTTACCAAAGATGCTCTAGAACAACTTTCCTCAAAATCCTTCAATTGGTTGAGAGGAAGATTTTTAAAGATTTATCTATTTTCCCCCTATTTGGCCCCGCCCCTCTGCCCCCAGGGGGACCATACCGTCCGTTTATACAAAACTGAGAACCCTTTGGCCATTGATGCTCCAGACCAAATTTGGTCAAAATCCATTCATCGGTACACAAGGAGAAGGATCTTTAATGTTTTCCTCTATTCTCCCTAATGGGCCCCACCCATCTGCCCTAAAGAAGGGGGCCCACACACCTCGGTTTATACAGAATTGATTATTTTGTCCCTAATCATGCTTCAGACTGCATTTGGTTTAAATCCCTTCACTTGTATAGTAGTAGAAAAAAAACACACTCTATTTCCCCTATTGGGCCCCGCCTCTATGCTCCCAGTGGGGCCACACCCTCCGTTTATACAAAATTGAGGCTCCGTTGTCCAAAGATGCTCTAGAACAAACTTGGTCAAAATCCTTCGATTGGTTGAGAAGAAGAAGATTTTTAAAGATTTACCTATTTTCCCCCCATTTGGCCCCGCCCCTCTGCCCCCAGGGGGACCATACACTCCGTTTATAAAAAAAAACTGATAACCCTTTGGCCAATGATGCTCCAGAACAAATTTGGTCAAAATCCTCTGAGCCGTTCATGACTAGTAGCGTTTTAAAGGAAAACGTTGACGGATGACGGACGCCAGACGACGGACGCTGCGGCATGGGATAAACTCACTTGGCCCTTCGGTGAGTTAAAAAACACTGATTTTGTTTTCAAATGTTTATTTTACGAATCAAAGAAATGGGTTAACTGATATGTTTCATCTCTTTCCTAATGAACATTGCGATACTGATATAGATTGGTGAACATTAAGTTTAAGCTACTTACACTGTACTGTAACGATAACACTTGTAGTTGTAGTTGACTCCCCGGCAACATTTCCAGCAGTACACCGGTACATCCCATGTTCTGATCTGTCCAGTTGTCCCAGTGACAACACAGCTGAGGCAGTAAAGTTGGTGTTGTCAGGTTTAGTCCAGACAAATGTACAGCCAGGTCTACAGTCAGCTGTACAAGTGATGTCCGATAACGTGTCCCCCTCAGTCCTGGTGTAGTTTGTGCCCGGTGGGGAAATTGAAGTAGACGTCCCAGGACCGTCTACAAGATAAACACTTACACATTACAAACTGCCTGAATGTTTTGTATTTTTTTTGTGTGTCAAAATAGTATCTAGGTTCGCAGGAGTTCTATACATAGAAGGACCTCGCGCTGGCGGTCGCCACTGGCGCCAATGGCGAAAGTAAAACATGATTGGCGGTTTGAAACTGCTGGTGGCGAAAATGCAGATGAGGGAGTTTTATTTAAATGACTGTCGACAGTAGAAAAAAAAATGGCGATAACAGTTTCTAGAGCATTTGCTGCAGGTAAATTTGGCAAAACTGAATCAAGACCTGAGTAGGTAAATGTCTAGAAAACTAAGTTATTTCATCTTACAATGTATTTTCTTTGCTTAAATACAAACCAAATTAAGTGTAAACCATGAACTAATATTTAGCAATCACCTGATTTGCAGGGTTTATCTTATACGTTTATTCATCGATAGTGTACGTTTTAAAAACCCTTAATAAATGGTTTTAATTTATAAAATAATTTGTGATCGATAAAATGTATTTCATGCAATCTCAAATGAGTGTTACTCGTTTGTCAAGGAGGAGCGTTATTTTGTTCAATGGGTAAAACGATATGAAATCAGTGAAAAATCAATGTTGCACCTAAATGTGAGTTACTTCCACCTAGGACAATTAAACGTTTTATTTTCAAAATGTTTTGTTTGAGACGAAAACTTAATGGAATCAAAAGGTAAAATGCATCAGTTGTTAATTGTGAGCATTTTCTCTTGCACACTTCATGTACTGGCCTTAAAAGGAAATATCAATTCTACGTTTTTCGAGCAAAAATGACTTATTTTGAGGTTAAAATGAATATGTTAACTTTCTTGTAAACGGTGTCGTAATACAGCTATACCCTAGTTGATGTAATAAGGATATATATGTATTCCTCTGAAAGAAGTTCTGGTGTACATCATTTGCAGTCACTGGATACACTTTCATATCAGGTCAGAGTGATATATCACATTGCAAATGTTTATGACGAGACTAGTTATATATATACATATATATGTACATATGTGTTGTAAATGAATACAGAAGTACATTTGTAATAAACAAAATCATAGTTTGTATTTCCCAAAACAATGAAAAAATCCTACTATTTTATTCTTTAAGCTAATTAAATTGATGACATGTTCTTGCACATTTTATTTTTCAATTCAATTCAGTCATGCAATCAAGTAAAAGGAAAATGCATTAAGCATGTATAGATAAAGAGTTATCAAGAGACGGTCATGTCACTGTTATTAATACGTACAGTTTACAGAAACACTGACGTCACTAGATGTCTGAATCCCGTATGTGTTACTGGCCGTACACCTGTACACCCCCGTCTGACCACGCTGTATGTTGGTGAGCTGGAGATCTGACCGTGTTGTGTGGGACTGTCCATCCTTTGTCCAGCTGTAGGTACAGACTGGGTTACAGTCAGACGAACACGTGACGGTAGGGAGAGTATGTCCCTCTATAGGAGTGTAGGATGTAGTCGACGGGGTCAAACTTACAGCTGAAGGACCATCTTAAATGATTAACAAGTGGAACATGTACTCAATAAAGCATTGACTTCCTGGAGTGTTAAATCCACGTGTAATAAAGAAATTATAATTTTCGATTTTTAGAATGTGTGGTTATGAGATTGAAGGTTAGGTAGTGTTACCTGATAAAAGGTGTATCACGTTACCCCACATACAGTGGTATTACCAATACCATTATGATTGCATTATGTGTACAATAGACGAGAATTTGAGTACGTTAAAGCAATATCACATGCTTTTACCCTTGGTATGTGGTATTGAAGTATAGTCATGTTGATATGAAATAATAATTTGCATGTAATTCATATTTTGTAAAAACAAAAAAAAGGAAGTATATAACGTCTAGAGCCAATCGATTGAGCCTTCAATTTGACATATTCCAACGTCGCAGATAAGATAAGGATAAGAATACCGAAGGCAGAACCTTTATAATGCCGCATACTGTGAATGAACCTGTTTCCAAAATGATTATTTCTATCACACAGGCATCTAACCTAGTGTGATGGACATCTCTGAAAACACTTCACCCGCAGCGCTTTAAAGCGAAAACTATAAATCCAATAATATGAAACATGTCCAATATTGCAATTAGAAGCGTTCACCAGAATGTGTGTTCTGCCAGTGCATTGTTGTGAATCGCCGCGCATTATTATGTGGGCTAAAATTTGGTCGCCGCGGCCCTACACCTTGCTCTGTTCAATTGAAACATATGATTCCAAATTTCGCTCCTAATCATTTCCGTGACGTCTTGATGCGCTTGCGCATACGCATTTGTCACATTTGTCTGTCTTGTCGACGCGTCGACGTTACACAAGGGTTATTATTTCGAGGACTATCTGCAACGTTTCATGTGACATGAAGTCTTTTGACGAGGCGGCAAATATTCTTTTTTAACTTAGGAAAATTGAGATACTTCAAAGTGAGCTTCTTTTAGATTAAATATGGAAAATGCCGAAAAGTTCGCTAAGAGTGAATCAGTATTTTAATCTGAGTTCTGAATTGCATACTTACTCTGTCCTTTTATTGGTGGCAGCAAACGTGCGCATCAGTGATTTTGAATACCACATCGTTAGTTGCAGACAACATTGCAAATCCTTGTCAAACATTGCGCTTGATATTTATCTAGCTATCTATTACAACAGGCTAATACTTTGAACTACTTATTTATCTTGTTGATATTCTTGCCGGAAATTGACATGAACACCCGACCAATTCGTGTGGTAGCAGCATGACGTACCGGATAAATTACGTCACAGTGATGTCTGGTCACTTTTTCGCAAACGAGATAGCAACTAACTTCAAGTTCATACATTTATATCATTACCAAATACACTGCCAACACTGTGTCCATCGATCAATTTGTTATTAGTTTTTCAAACAATTCCTTCTTGATAAGTACTCAGCAATTGTCCGACAATGCACAGTGGAATTTGACTCCAATATGTATATACCTGGATTTCTACTCTGTTCTTCAAGTCAAAAGTCGCTTCCCCCAATCACATTTCAGAATAACTGCACCAGTTTCGGACATCTTGGTTAAGTTTGTCTCAAAGAGAGTCATCTCAAACTTCGTCATTATTATCATAACGCTAACAATGTTTACAGGCTTAAACAATGTCATCTTCACCACAGTTATAATCGCTATCACCGCTCTGATTATTTAGGGTGATAATGCGCCCCTGCTAATTAAGAAATCACCATTGCCATTTTTGTATTAACAAAAACAATAGGTAAAGCCCATGGCTGCCACTTTCGTTTAGAGTTTTGTTATTGGCGAATGGGATTGAATTTGCCCTTTGATAAAAAGAGCTTTTAAACATAAATGTATAAAAGCAAGTAATTAAGATAAGGTAAAAATAGCAGCAGTAAATATATTAATGTCACTGATGAAAACTTACATAATATGATTACACTTGTAGCTGTGGTCAACTCTCTGACAACATTCCTAGCCGTACACCTGTACGTCCCGCGTTCTGATCTGTCCAGTTGTCCTAGTGACAACACAGCTGAGGCAGGGAAGTTGGTGTTGTCAGGTCTTGTCCAGACAAAGGTACAGCCAGGTCTACAGTCAGCTGTACAGGTGATGTCCGGTAACGCATCCCCCTCAGTAGTGGTGTAGGTAGTGTCTGGTGGGGACCGGGTAACAGTATCGGGACCAACTACAAAAATGTAGATTGATATGTATAGAGCTTAGTTATGTAAGAAAGTGCAATAACATTTGGTGTCAGACATATTTTTGCAACAGTTGTACATATTTCACTTGATTGTTTTTTTTTTTCTATATTTTCACCTACAGTGATTTGGAACAATATGGGTTCATAATAATTGCAAGTGCTGTTTTTATACAACAGTACTTCTAACGAAGTTTTGAATGAATGTCTTGAGAAACTTCGCTTTTACATTCTGTACAGTTTTGTTTATCTTTAGACACGAGGATAAGTTACAGCAAAATAAAGGTTTTTCCCACGCCATAACAGTATATGTTTATAACAATGAATTATGTCGGTGATATTTCCGCAACTCCTTTCCTATTTCACAGAATTATTCACAATGCTGACATATCCTATTACAATTGAAACGTTTGGTATTAACACATCTTTAAACATGACATGAACTAATCAAATTAACATTTTATCAATCAATTATCATCATGTTTTGAAAACAAACTTTTATAATTATAATTTGTTTATGATAATCCTGCAATTATATTTTTGAAAGTTATTTCTGTACTTGTCATGTAAGTATAACCATGTCTGCTTTTTACTGTGAACTAGAACACTGACAGGTCAGTAAGGGCCCCGTCTTGTGGCAATATATCCCCCATAATCACCAAGAAGCAATCTGCCCATATAGCTGAGCTTTACGTTTGATATTTGGACTTCAAAAAGAATCGCAAAGAAGCAAAATATGCATTTTACATGTACTATGATGTGAGTCTTGTTTCCTTCCACCTCCATATTTGCTGGGCTAACAGAAATGTAAATACCGGTGCAATACTCATTTGTTAGCTTTGATTTGTTTTATTTCACCTGATATACCTCCTCCATCAAGAGCAAGGGTCAAAGTCAGAGATCCACTTTGTCTTTGACCTTTGATCCCAAATGACCTTAACCATTAACCCAGTGACCATGATCTTTGGTCAGTAGACTTATTCTTTAATTCCGACCAACTTTGCTTCTTAATATCATAACAAAATGTTCATCAGTAAAAAATACAAAAGTTGACCTTGACCCTTTGGACCCCGCAACCTGGACCTAAGGTCAGTTGACTCTGTGTTAAGTTCTGAACAATATTGCTTCATCATGTCATAACAAAATGTTCATTAGTGAAAAGATGCAAAATTTGTCCTTGACCTTTGAATATAATGACCTTGACCTTTAACCTCGACCTCTTACCTCAGTGTGTCTTTTTGTTAACTTCCGAACAACTTTGCTACATAATGTCATAGCGAAATGTTCACCAGTGAAAAGCTACAAAATTTGATCTTGACCCCTGACCCGATTACCTTGACCTTTGCCTAGTTGACTCCTTGTTTAATTCTGATCAACTTTGCTTCATAATGTCAAAGCAAAATGTTCATCAGTGAAAATATGTAAAATTTGACATTGACCTTTGAACCTAATGACCTTGACATTTGACCTTGACTTTTTACCTCAATGTGTATTTTGGTGAACTGAAAATCTTGACCAGGTTTCATGTACATCGGTCAATAAATACTAAAGTTATCAGCCATGAACAAAATGTGTGGACGAACAGACAGACAGACAGACAATGATTACTATAGGGCACCCGTATCTCCGATACGGGGCCCTAATAAGAAGGCAGTCTTTATCGTCAAAAAATACTATTATAACATAATATGTGATGAGTTAAGGTTGAAAGGGTGAATGTTGACTAACAAATAGATGTATATTTTTCTTGATATGTTTTTTGTTCATATAGGCATAGAATGCATGTATATAAGTAGATGTATTGATGGTGACCCATATGTGTGCTATCATATGTGACAACATTTTGAGACAACACCCCATCGTCAGGTGTCTTTGAAGCATTTCAATATATATTATCTGGATACAGTGTGGGATTTAATTGTTCTTATACCAAAACAGTTTGATTCAGCTTGTTTATAGACAACTGTGATGCCATAGAGTTAAAATATAAAATAGAAATAAAACAGCACATGTCACGGGATTTGGGAAAATTTTAGTTATGTATAAAATAGCTTACACTGTATGTTAACTACAGCTGACGACGTTAACGATCCGTAGATATTACCAGCAGTACATTTGTATGTCCCATGTTCTGACCTGTCCAGTTGTCCCAATGACAACACAGCTGAGGCAGTTAAGTTGGTGTCTTCAGGTTTTGTCCATACAAAGGTACAGCCAGGTCTACAGTCAGCTGTACATGTGAGGTTCGGTAACGTGTCCCCCTCAGTTCTGGTGTAGGTAGTGTCCGGTGGGGACAGGGTAACAGTACTGGGACCGTCTGTAATACAAACATATCTAAAGTTCTTATAATTTTCTTGGAAAGATTTATGTGAACTTTCTATTCATTGGAGAGACAGCAGGGGTTAGGCAGATAACTGACGACCCATCAACCCATTTAAATGATGCATTTTCCACCTCAGGCAGAATACAAAATAATTCTACTACATGTTTTCGTACATACAGTAACATCCCATATCGAAAAAAGTTACAAAAAAGTTATAACTTTTGATGCTAGATTGGAACCTTGTGAGAAGAGAGTTTCAATCTAGTACTAAAAAGTTACAAAAAGGTATTAAAAAGTTACACTCAAACACTTTGTTCAGTTCAATCATTACTTTATTGGCAAACAAAAGGTACACAAAAGTTACATTTAGCCACTTAAGCACTAGTGAAAAAGGTATCATAAAGTTATAACTTTATTTAGTTACTAAAAAGGTACAAAAAAAGTTATGCTTTTCTGAGATACTGAAAAGGTACAGACACAGTTCTAGTAAAAAGGTACAATAAAGTTATAACTTTATTTAGGTACTTAAAAGGTACAAACAAGTTCATAAACCTCTCATGTATTATGAAAAGGTATCAAAAAAAATCATAACCTAACCTTTACTGGATCTGTTGTTAAAATGAAACTCTATTTTAATAGAGTATTCCTTTGAAGTTACTATAATATATCACCTGCTTTCTTGTAGTTATTATCATATAAATAAATATTCCTTTGTAGTAACTATAATATAAATAATTTTCTTTACGTTACTATTATATGAATAAATATTTTCTTGTAGCTACCTTTATATAAATATTATCTTGAAGTTACTATTTATCATCTAGATAATCTCTTGCACTTACTACATCAAAAATATGTTCTCGTAGTTACTATTATATACATACTTTCTGTAGTTACTATTATTTTACAATATAATACACAATAATGTAATAAATATACTCTCATGCTGACTTCCAGGGAGTGCCCTATATTGACTATGACTCTCTCCAGCTTTGACACTAGCATACTCACTTGTATTCTCTTGTATTCACAACTATTTCACATAACCATTCCTAAAATAATCATTAATAGAATATCTCTTATAAAGTTACAACAAACAATCATATTAATAGTTCTTTAAAGTTGAAATGTCTCATTTGTTCTATGTGGTTGAGTTCCTCCTAGCCAAGCTGACCAAAGCACTGATTTGTGTCCTCATTGAAAACTTGATTTCTGACAGGCCACTTTTCCCATGAATCGCCTCAGCATAATCTGTTGAAAAGCAGATGATTTAGGCAAAATAGCTAGTAACATAATTGCAACTTTATTAAATTTTATTAGTTCTTTCTTCATCACTTTAAATTCTAGGAATTAATGAATATGAATGGTGAAATTATATTGGTAGCATTTTATGGTAAACTTGCTATTTATTATTCACTGACAGGCACCATTAATCAGTTCAAGTAGCTATAGCGATACTTTTGTAATTTCAGTGATATTACTACTACATAAAGAAAATTGCTGTAGAACTCTTTTCTTTTGTGCTGTTATGAAAAAAGTTTTAATTCATAATTACCAATTATTGCTCAAACAATGGTCTGGTTCAAACCTTTCCCAGGTTGACCAGCTCAGTGTTGGTGAAGAACACTGACATCAAATATCTGGCGACCTGTTCCCCTTCGTCTTCCTCTGTGCGTTTTTTATGTGTTTGGGATACACATAAACCCCAGTCCCAGGTATACGCTCCACCATCTGTCAAGCTAAGGAGCAATAACATAATTTACAAAATAATATAATTTTGCAATTAAAATGAGTCTCCTAAACAAGCAGGAAGTAAACAAGAATTTAAAGACATGTTTACCTTTAATTTCTTACCTTGACACAACACAATAGCATTGTAACAGTTGATCGGATATTTACGATATGGTGTAAAGAGATTCAAAAAGAAAAGCTTTTAAGTTCATTGTGAGTTTATGGTATATAATATCTATATATCTATATAAATGTAATAGCAAAATATATCTAAATGTAAATACCAGTGCACTTCTTATTTGTTGGCTTTGATCTGTTTTATTTCACCTAAAATACCTCCCCAACAAGAGCCGGGGTCAAAGTCAAGATATCCACTTTGTCTCTGACCTTTGGACCTAAATCACCTTGATCTTTAATCCAGTGACCATGATCTTTGGTCAGTTGACTTATTCTTTATTTCCGACCAACTTTGCTTTATAATACCATAACAAAATGTTCATCAGTAAAAAGTGTTATAGAGAAATGTTCATTTATGAAAAGATACTAAATTTGACCTTTACCTTTGATCCAGTGACCTTGACATATGACCTTTGGTCCGTTGATCCCTTGTTTAATTCTGATCAACTTTGCTTCATCATGTCATAATAAATTGTTAAGCAGTAAAAAGATACAAAATCTGACTTTGACCGTTGATCCAATGACTTTGACCTTCGATAAGTTGACTTCTTGTTGTATTGTCACTAACTTTGCTTCATAATGTCTTTACAGAATGTTTACCGGTAATTAAAGAGCAACAAAAAAGTTTAATGTTAAAATCCAATATGGCTGATTAGCAGCCATTTTGAATCAGATCTGCCGAAATATTACCAAGCAGAACTAGGATGCATGGGAAATCATCATGTAATTTAAAAAAAAAACTTACTCCATTTACTTCCATCAACATTGTACAAAAGAAAAAAATGGACAGACAAACGGACAACCTGATTACTATAAGGGAACGTACCCGCATCTTCAATGTGGGGCCCTAATAATTATAGAAATCAAAATTCCAAAAGAAAGCCATTTTAATTTCAGCTTGTAACCATTTAAAAGGCTGTCAAATTTCAATAAGGTTAGACAAAAGACAGAGGAGACTTCTGAGATTACAAAAGCTTAAACAAAAGATCACAAAATCAGTACCTTAAATCAATGAACTTACCTTTGTTTGATTTGTTTTCGGCACTAATTCTCTTTGCAGCAGGGGGTTGAGGGGGAGGTTCATGGACCTCTATAACAGACTCATGAGGTGGAGCTGAGACTTTTTCATCTGTTGTTTCTGTCTGTATTTTCCCCCATCAGTGTGCACAGCTATCATCTAGAAAAAGAGAAAATATTAAAAAAAAAATGTGATTTAAAAAATTGGAATTCTCTAATTTAACTGATGTATATACTGAGCTATACATATATATATAAGGTTTCTGTAGGGAACAGGGTAAGGACATGCAGTGTGGAAGGAGAGGGAACATGCAACTTTACTGTGGAATATTTAAAATGGCACACTTCAGTTTTTAAAGAAAATTATTTTTTTCCTTTCAAGTCATAGGAATATCAAGTTATTTCAATAACACAAAACAAAAGAAGCATATATATCAGTTTTATCAAGTTGAAAGAATTCAAAATGTTACTCAAAAAAATGAAATAAAATTCAATATGTTTTCAAAGGACGTCACTAAACAATTTTTGATGAAGTATGCAGAAGTTGAACAGTGCCTGTTACTTGCATGTCATTTATCTCTTTAAATTTCCTTTTTGAAAATGAATGTTTTTAATTTTTTTAACGATATATGAAGATTATAAAAACAACATCCATTGTACTGCTAACATTCGTATTTTGGATACTCTTACGTTTCAATTCAAATAAGTGAAGAAAATCATAGGAAATTTAGAAATTCCAAAGCTATTAAAGATTAACAAAAAATAAGTAAGAAACCATTTAAGTAGAAATTATTCAATCTTAAAATTTATTGATAGGAAATTAAAATGCATTGGCTTTTAAATTTCTGTTATTTCTTGTCATGAAGGAGAAATTCCAATAATGATTTCAATATTTGTAATGTGTTTGTTAACTTTATAAAAAACGAAAAAGTGTATACTTGTACAGGAAAAATATATATTCGGCACGGGGTTTGAGTATATATTAAGCTAGAAATTAAACATCACACTGAAATGTCCTTCCTTTCCCTGAAGAACAAAGAATAAACAAATACCGAAAATCTTATTATAGGGGCCTACACCGAAACGGATTCTGGTAAGTAGATCTCCTTTCCGAATTGTATACAAATAGAGTAGCTCAGTAAACGAAAAATGTAATCGGTACCGAAATAATCGGTGTTTTTTAACAGATAGTACTGCCATCTGCCCATCTCTAAAGAGCATACATATAAGAAAAAAAAATCCATCGTCTCAGTCATGGGACTGTATTTATTTAATAAATTTGATATGTTTACTCTGCGTTTTGTATTGAATCCTTTCGATGAAAATACAATTGATGGCTTACCTGAAATATTACCTGAAATGGCGACGATCTTTCCATGGTATTCCCCAGAAAACCTGGGATTCATGAGAAGATTTCATCACCAACTGCGTATATACCACGCTCTTTCGCGGACGTTCCACTGTCTTCAAGGATATGATGAAGTAGGTATCGTCTTCCCAGTAAACCAAAACACGTTCCAATATTTTGATTACTTCTTGTGACCCGCCGGGTTAGAGTTCAAAATGTAGAGGTCGATCGAATACAAATTTACCCGCGCGCTTTTCATTGGCCAATTTTATAAGGCTATTTATAGTCACGCGAGATTACTTTTTCGCATAGGGCTTCGCTTCAATAACGATAAAGTCCTACCTCATATTAATCATAACTATTTATTGTTAAATACAAATAGTATGGACACAACAGTAACAATTGAAAACAAAAAATATTCCCTTTGTAACAATAACCAAGCAGCCGTCGTAAGTTGTTTACGACAATAACGTAAAACTTTTGAACGATTTCCGGCACCATGCTGTCGTTACAAATGTATGTCCCGAATTTGACACTTTTTCAACGGAAACACGGGAAATCGACTTCTAATGCAATCAAGAAACTATTGCTTAAATGATTAAATACACAGGTCTTCCTTCTGAAGTAATATTTTCATTGAAATCGGCATGAATTTCTCACATGACTGGTCAAGGTAACCGTGAATATTTGTGAAAGTCATGCTCGTTGTCTTATCGGAATTTGTGTTCAGTAGGCCTAATTATTTTTATTTGATATACAGTCCTACAGCAATTAACCGTCTACATGCTTTGTTAAGACTGAAATGTATGACCAGCAAGCGATGGTCGATCTATTGTTTTCCGCTGACTGGGGTGAAGCGAGGTGTGAAAAAATTACCTTGAGTGGACCGATGATTATCTCGGGCGATGTACAGTTAGCCGGACCTATTACGTAATTGTCCAGGTGTTTCACATGGACAACTTACTTATAAAATCAATTCACAGCAGAAAAAAACATCATAATAAGCGGGTTCCTACCTTTGACCATATAATGATAAATATATATATATATCGGTTATAATGATATTTTCCCCCATGTACCCATTTTTTCCTTATATATATAATGAATTTTTATATATATATACATAATAACTGGGTTCCACTGTACCAAACATGTTCTAACGTTAAAGTTACAAAGTTTTTCACAAGAATTGGCATTGTTTTCTGAGTCCAGAAAAGGTACAAAAAGTTATACCAAAAATATTCAAGTTTTTTCACCAGCATTGCAATTATTTTCTAAATCCAGAAAAGGTACAAAAAGTTATACCAAAAATATTCAAAGTTTTTCACCAGCATTGCAATTATTTTCCAAGTCCAGAAAAGGTACTAAAAGTTATACCAGATTTTTTTAAAGTCAAGAGAAATTACAAAAAGGTACACAAGTAAAGTTTTAGTTTAAACTAAACTATCGAAAAGTTATAACTTTTTTGTACCTTTTATCAGGAGTACAAAAAAGTTACTGAAAAGGTACGAAAAAGTTATACCTATTTGTAACTGATTTAGGTATAGGATATTTCCGAAAATTTGTTACGGATTTTACCTTTTTACATGACATAGATGAATACTGCCTATGTATTAGTTGCAGTTATAAAAGATGATAGGTGGAGATTTGGGAACAGTTCAAGATTAAAAAAACAACTTCTCATGCTTTGAATTAAAAAAAAAAAGTATCCATTATTTAAAAAAAATCAAAAAATCAAAAAATCAAAAAATTCAGTTAAAAGTAATCTTGTCGTATTCGTTGTTCAGAAAGTAACCTTTTACTCAACCATAGACGGTAATTTCGAACAGAATTTTGTGGATCGTCATCATAATCTGTTTTTTTTACATATTTAGTACATTTTCTAGGAATAATCCGGCTCAAATGTTGCCATATGCTCCGCGCTATACCTAGGTGTGCTTAAATGTATGTATTTTAATCAATGAAGAGTAATTCAGGGAAACAAAAAAACTTTCAAAGTATCAAAATCACATTTTCTTAAATATGGATTCGTCGAAAGCTGTTCAATTTAAAACAGAATGTCAAAGAGCAATCAGAAAAGTTAAGTCGTTAAAGGAACCGTCGTAGAAATTGTCTGAACTACTTCTAGAGTGAAAAAACTCAAAAGAGACAGCTAACAATGTACTGACTTGCATGGCGACCGATGCCCAGTTGAATTATTTTAGCATACATTAATTAACAGTCATGAATTACACAGCTACATAACCAATTTGTGACTGTTGCGCCCTGTTGCAAATTATGTTTTTACTCATTATTTGTCCTATTTTTTACACCTATAAATATCTTAAGTTATCCATTTTTTTTGCAAAAAAATCTTGTAAAGGTGTTTACTGGATATGCCTACTTTTCGGAACTTCTTCCCCGTATCCCCCTCATCTTTTTGCTGAATATCAAAGCACTGAAAGCCGGAGCGATGACCGTCACACGATAATAGAAAGAGTATTGTACATTATTTTTCGATATTATTTCGACCATAATTTAGTATGGAACGTTATAAGAGATGATAATACGATTTTGTATAAAATAGGAATGTGACTGATTTTGAATTACTTAAGTTGGATCTAAAAATGGCTGCTTCAGTGCTTGGTCATGAAATTTGCACCCTTTTATTTCTGAACGTTTTCTTCAGGTTGCATGGTAAACTACACTTGTATGGATTCTAGAAGGGTCACGTCGTACAATCAATTAAGTGTTTATGTGTGAAATATTGATTACTAGCACAGTATGTACGCTATCACCTGTACTGGCCAAATGACAAGTGAAACATACATGTATATAACCAAATGTGCAAAATATCAATCATACAAGGTTAGAACGGTCACATCTAAATAGAGTCTTAAACAACCATTACACCTCAAGGTGATTTTTTTTCAGCAGCAGGAAAATGGAATTAATGGCTAGTAATGTTATTTAAATAAATTACCTCGAACGTCTTTCAAGGTCACAAAGGTAAAATATGTTAAGGTAGCAGTGTACAGTAGCGTAATATGGTCATGGGTGATATTTTTGTACAATGAATTACCCCTGTAATATTACATGTATCAAAATCAGCACTTGAATTGGCATAAACTGATGAAGTGGACTATGTGGTCTTCGTATTTTTTCGAAACAAGAGGGCCAATGGGCCTGCACCTGGTATTAATCTCACACTTGTAATCTTAAAAGTGGACTAAAATACAGCTACAGGCAAAACATCAGTATTTCATTCATAAGAACCAATTGAAATATTTAAATATATGACACCTGTGACCTTGAATGTCGAACAAGGACATTATATTATTAGGTTGAACAACAGAGTTTATATTCTTCCAACCCAGCATGCTTCTGGAAAAATATCATTACCCTGGACCTTTTGGTAATACAGAACAAATCATTTAAAGATTTAAACATATATTGACCACTGTGGCCTTGAATATGGGTGAAGGTCATTCACTTGGTAGTCCTTCATCCCAGCATGTAAATGGCCAAATATCCTCACCATTGGCCTTTTGCTTATTAAGAAGAAGTCAGTTCATGGTTTTAAACATATTTGACCCCTGTGACCTAAAAATATATATGTCAAGGTCATTCATTTGAACTTGGTAAGTCATTCATCCCAGCATGTTTCTGGCATTATCCTAGGCCTTTTGGTTCTTCCGAAGAAGTTGTTTGAAGGTTTAGAACATATTTGACCCTGTGACCTTGAAAACAGATGAAGGTCATTCATTTAAACTTCATAGCCCTTCATCCAAGCATGCTACTAGCCAAATATCATCACCCTAGGCCTATTGGTTATTCAGAAGAAGTTATTTAAATGTTTAAATCATATTTTCCCTCTGTGACCTTGAATATAAGTCAAGGTCATTTATTTGAGCAAACTAGGTAGCCCTTCATCCCAGCATATTAATGCCTAAATATCATCACCCTAGGCCTCTCGGTAATTCAGAAATGTTGTTTAAAGGTTTTTAAACCTATTTGGCCCCATCTGACCTTGACAGTGGGTCAAGGTCATTCATTTGAACAATCTTTTAATGCCTTTATCCACGCATGTTACTGGCCAAATATCATCATCCTAGGCCTCTTGGTTATTCAGAAGAAGTTGTTTAAATATTTTATCATATTTGACCCCTGTGA